GAATATATACTGATATAACACAGGTTGAAATCATGAGTCAGTTGAAGCTAGACCACCATTGAAAACCTGGAAGCACTGGACGACCGTTTCGTCCTGGTATGGGACTTCTCAGCAGTGCCCATCCACGATCCCGCACCACCCGGGGCTCGAACCCAGGACCTACTGGCTTCGCGCGCGAGCACTTAATCACTAGACCACTGAGCCGGCATCCAACGGTGTTAATGTCTAACTTCAACCAATCCACGAAGTTGCGCCACCGTACACCATTATCTTCAGTGAGTTGTTATCTCACAACAGACCGGTTGAACTCCACTGGTAACGGCTTCTCACTAGAACTTCAGGAGTTTTTCCTGAAGTCAGTCACTAGTGAGCAGTTGATTATTATACAGATATAACTTGACAAACTTCAATATCAAGCTACTTGTATATTCCATAAATGTTTGAATTATATTTCGCTATGTTATTTCTTAAAACATCTGTAAGTAAATCATAATTATTTTAAAAGATTTTACAGTTTGTATGGTATAAATAAAATAACATTAACAAACTATCTATACATTCAATAACTAAAGTGAAATAAAGATGATTGGGAAAACAGTGAACAACAGATGTTTAATTTAGCGAAATAGAACATCTTGACAAAGTAGTCATAGATTTTTGGACCTCAAAAACTTGTTACATTCACATGATTCTTTTTTCTATTGAAGTATCCATCATTAAATATGTAGTTGAACTCATTTTTTCTCTTTATTATGAAAACTTAATCTATAAACTAAAAACAGCATGTTGTCAAATTGGAAACTATTCAAATCGATCTCTTATTCGGTATTACAATCATGTTGTTGATAATCAAATCTGAACTAATGAATCACTGTTAAGATATGGGTTACATAAATGGAAGTTCCAGTAGTGAGTAGATTTATAAGATAGCTATTTATTTTAGACAATAGCCAACTAATGGACTTCAAAACGTACAATAGGTTTTATTCGAGACTTTTTAAATAGATGTACATATGTATTCAAAGTTCCGTAACTGATCACTATGAGAATATAATCAGTTTAAAACATGTAACTTTCGACTGAAATTGATGAATCCAGTTAATTTCATGATATACATATGATAAGTAGTGTTGATTTTGATTTGGTATCTTAATAGGACACGGTATATTAAAGGCATTCAGTCTTGAATTTACACAACGGAAATATTAACCCTGGAGAGCAAACACACGTAGTTCATAAGCTCTAAGTAGGATAAAACGTTGGACTCTTCAAATATGTAGTGAAAGCCTATATTCTGACTAGATATTTCAACTAATTTTATCTATCTATAATTTCATCCTTTATATAATGATAAATATTTCGAAGTGATCGACAACTCAAGTGGGAACAACCAATCTATTATTTCATGTTCAATCACACAATGCTTTAGCAATATGTGAAAATCATACATCAAAAATATCATTTGCACATGTTTGAATTGTCTCTTACAAGCTTCATTTTTCCTTCATACCTGCTTATGTCTTGATTGATTTCAGCTTCGCTCTCTCTCCTCTTCAATTCAATATTCTCAACTTTCTGCCCTTAGACATTCCACCGCTACCCGGTGTTACATACTACTTATATCTGTTAGTACAATTAGCATAAATCAAAGTGTTAGGTTAGCCATTTTTGACAAAAAAGCCTGAAAACTATTGGATACAAGATTATGAGTGATACTTAACATAAAGCTCATTTTTATTACTATAGATTGTGTAATGCTGCAATCACTTGCATGTGCTACATTATTTTGTAGAAAAAAATATTGAATGAATAACATGATCTTATTTCGTCAGAATCATGAATCAATCTAAGCTAGACCGCCGATATGAAACTTCTCAGGAGTGCGCATCCACGATCCTGCACTCGGAACTCGAACCCAGTACTCACGGTCTCGCGCGACAACACTTAACCTCTAGACCACTGAGTCAGCATCGAACAGTGTTAATGTTTAACTTCAATCGATCCATAATCTTGTGTGATCATTCATCCAGTGTCATGGGTTCGAGTAGTTCGTGAGGGATTGTGGATGAGCACTGCTGAAAAGTCCCATACTGGGACGAAACAGTCGTCCAGTGTTTCCAGGTAGTCTAGCTTACACTGATTCATGAATTCAACTATTAAAATCCAGAATCAGTTAAGATTTAAACTTTTTAAACAAAAAACAGAAAGAATAGTTCCATAATGTTGAATTAGATTTTCGATCGCATCATCTAAATTGTTTCATACTTCACTGTAAACAACAAAATATAAAAATTACTGGTTCAAAGAGTTTCTTATAAGTATTTCGGTCAATTAGTTCGTTCTCGTTATTTACGTTTTTTTATTTCTGAAGAATGAATAAATAAATAAAACATTATAGAAAGCTGTTTTCGTCTACTTCATAATGTATCAATAAGATATCCTAGAAATATATTGTCGGCCAGCTTGAATATATGGGTTAGATGTTCCCACCATCTTGATATTTCAACCAGTTATCTGTGTTTGTTTATCCTAACACATCAATATGCGTTTGTGAAAAGTTTACGACCTTTCGCTGTACAAGTTACAAAATAGTACAATCAAAGACATATTGGTGGCCGGCAATATATGCATTGACAAGACGTCGATTCCTGAACTGCTAATATCTAACAGGCGATCACTCAACATGTATCGTCAATATCGACCAAGAAACAAGAAACGGAAACTTGTTGGAATAATTTGTGCTGAGAATCCTATACTGTACCGGAAAATTTAACATTGAATAAAGCAATTAATATTAATAATAAATGAAGCTTTGATCCTTGTTGAAATCTAGTTAAGAGTGGACATAATCGTTATTTATTGTCATAGATTAGTTTGATGTGGTTTGAATTGTTAGATTATGTGATGAATACAGTTAATAGAATGATGTTAATTATAGAATAATTATTACTTAAACAGGTTTTACACTCAATTTGTAAAAAGATGAGAACTTATGGACATAAATGTTGTTGTTGTTTTACCTTTCAGTGGTCTAGAATATACTGTCATTTATTTTAATCATATATATATATATATATATATGAAGAGAGAGAGAGACTGAAAAAGAGATAAAATACAATGTTAAGCTAATATATACAAAACTTAACAAGATGAATAAATTTGAAAGTTTTCAGTTGTATTTAAATTATATAATCATGTTCGATGTTTGGAGGTGGATAACAAGAAACCCTGGACTTGAGTTTCTGACTATTTCATACACATCAGTAGTGAATGCTTCTAGTCTGAAGATAATTGCTAAGCCATAATGAGCTGAAACTCAAGTAATTCAAATCCACAGTCTGAGGCGCAACCATTGATCTATTCGGTCTTTTATGAATATTTTGAAAATTGAGATATTTGCAATTGATTAATCACTTAGTAGTGACCTATGTTATGATTCTCTAGTACTGATACACTCCTACCTATATGATAAAATTATTTCACGAATATTAATCAGTCACATTATGTGGGCATATTTATATAACCTTGCACTTTTATGATTATTTACATTACTGACTGATTTTTCCCAAGAAAATAAAGTTAAGGTTGAATTTCTTTCTCTAATATAAGTGGTTCGATCATGATGCTCTTATCGCTCTTCCGAACAACATCACTAACATATTTCAAGTAGAAGCGAGTTATTCGAATTTCTCCACTTATAACTGTTAGCCTGTTCTGTTGACTTTGATATTGATCAGTTATTGCTAATCTTTATCCCGTTTTTATCTGCACATTTGAACTCAGGTCAATCAGTAATCAATAAACACATCGAAATCGATCCAATTCATCAATCAATTAGAAAACCCATGAACAAACAATGAACCGAAAAGGAGGAGAATAATCACAATAAATATGCAGATAAAAACAGGATAAAGATTAGCAATAACCGATCAATATCAAAGTCAACAGAACAAGCTAACAGTTATCAGTGGAGAAATTCGAATAACTCGCTTCTACTTAGTCTATGTTAATGATGTTGTTCGGAAGAACAATAAAAGCTTCATGATCGAACCATCTATATTAGAGAACAAAACAGCCTAAATCATTCATATAAGCTACAAATCTTCTCCATCATCTGGAAATCTTGAAGTACTGGATAGTTCTGTCGTACCTCAGTAATGAATACCAACAACATCCCATACCTTCATGTCGTATTAGGTACGTTACCCTTAGATCACTGAGTTAAAATTCAGTGATAAATATTTCTAGCTACAGTTTACTCGGAATAATAAACAACGACCATGCGATGCCATAGGTAATATCAGCCTCATTATCGAACTATATCACTCACAGTTAGTCTTGTGGAAACTATATTCAAGTTAGAAGAGAAAAGCGTATTTCAACTATTGGGTTTAACTTTGAAACTTTACTTTGGTTACTTTACTTCAGTGAGTTAAATGTTACTTAACAATGTTTCGCATAAAAAATATTTTAACAAAACACCTAATAGAATTGTCTTTGATATTTTCATAATACTAGTCAAGTTAAATTATGCTTCATACATGCACTACCTAGTTTTAATGTACAGAGATAGATTTTGTCACTTAAAATAACCATCAATATAAGATACAATATAATTTTTATGAACTGGTCAGTGCAATATCTATAATGTAAAAATGGTAATATGCCATAACATCATTACTTAGTATATACTATAATAATACAAAGCTCAATCAAATTAAAGTAATTCACTAGTTTCATAGTCATTCGTATATGATGAGCTGTCTTACCATAGATTTGTACTTTTACCTACAATCTGCAAGATATCTTACAAGAAATATAGATAAGTTATTCGCTGTTAAGTTCAATTTCAATCTAATCATATAGGATTAAGTTTAATCTATACATTAGTTCCTAATCACAAAGCATAATGTTAATCTCCTTCTGACAAGTGACCAATGCACAAACATAGGAAAATTAGTAATCATAAAGAAAACCAAAGAATATTGGAGGTAACCTACCGTCATCTGAATGAATCGCTTCACTATATAGTATAAATGAATAAAATATCAAGGTGACTTGGATAGAATACATGCTCGATTTCAGTAAATATTTCATATTATGACAATCAATTAGTTAAATTAAGTTTGTAAGAATTTAGAATTTTCTAAATAAAAGCTGTGGTTGATTTGATTGTGGAGTATATATATGTGTGTTTCAATAATCACTTCCTTATTTTTAACTCAGCATCCAATATTTTAAACTTATTCTCCAGATATTCTGTTCGCTTGATTTGAGTTGTTTTTGGATTTCAAAGTTTCTGACCTATAGAAGATGCGCTACGTCAGATTATGAAGGTGAACCAACAACAATAGGCTTTGTAAAAAGTAAATTCTTGTCTTTTTGAAGAAGCTAATCTGTTTTATAACCAATTTTGTAAGAAGTTTGTATTTATCTAACTAGTTTCTTTTTTTCTGTTATTTTTCACTAGTTTCTAATCTTCCAAATGTATCGTCATAAACCAGAAAAAAGCACAATGATATCCGATTGGATTAGAGTTAGTGTAAATTTCCCGTCTGTTAATTGGCACTGTGAATTAACCAATCAATTATGAAGAAAAGTGACAGAATAGTATAGGATATAAGATAAGCTAAATAAAAGATTTCCTGAAATTATGTATATACTATAATTATATTTTTCTGTGGGCTGATATATATTTACTACCTATTGAAGATTAAGAATTATTTGATGGTTGCTTAGTTTAAGTTCTTAACGTTTTAGATACGGACGCTCACAAATGTATTCAAGAATGAACCTTGAAATTCACAAATAATCGCGGTTAGTACAATACCTTAAAACTTTCGAAGTGGAATATAATCATTAACGATAATGAAATAATCAAAGAAAATTTATTTCCTAGCTTATTTTGTATACACAAACATATCAGTACGTATTAATGATCAGTTTAGGGTTGTGCAGATTGTTGAGTTTATATTGGGATCATAAACCGATCAACGTTAGATCACCATCGGGAACTTGAAAGCACTGGACGGCCGTTTCGTCCTAGTATTGGACTGCTCGACAGAATGCATCCGCGGTCCCTTACGCAGGACTCGAACCCAGAGCCTTAGGTCTCGAGCTCATGCTTAAGACCAAGACCACTCAGCCGGCATCCAGAATATAAATTTACACTTTGTTATGTGGTGGGCGAGAGCCGACAGAGCTCTCTGAAACTAGGTTTCGTAGTAATTTGTGCTTGTCAGTTTGTAATCTTAAGAAAACTGAATACCCCTGTGGAATCTAAACATATATGCTTTTGCACACAACTTAATTCCGGCCTTTCTGTTGACCACCTCGACGCACCTAACATTCTAGCTTAGTGCGAAACTGAGTCACTCAGATGTAATCGACAGATTTCGATAAGTCTTAAAAAAATTAGACAAACTGATGAGTCTTGTCGATCGAACGCTTTATTCGTTTTCCTAAGCCATTCTGGTAACCCGCAGTCTAGAACTACACAGCGACATGAACACCAGAGAGAAGACACAAGTATGAGAGAAAATACTTTATCCCAAGGTTCATTCTTGTACAGAAAATCATGGGTATTTATAGATGTTGGCGTCTGTTAAATCAACATCATTTTTCAGCCAATCCGTTAACGACATATTATGCTACCGACCAATAGTAGCACGCCACGCTGGAATTCTCGAACATTCCATCATACTCTGGCTAGGACCTTTCGGCTTCTTTTGGGCCTCTGGAGGCTCCGTTGAAGTTCTCCGGAAGCCGACTCAACGCAAACATAGAAATGGTCACTATTCCATGACCAATCAATTGTACAGTAACTCTTTACTTAGTATTCTAAGGTACTGTTTCTCGATTACTCATTGCTTCAGCTCGCCGAAATCAGTGACTTTAGTCTATTAATCGTAAAAATAAGGATTCATTTAAACTGGACCTGGATTTTATATCATAAATGTTAATTACAATAACGGTCACTCTTATACAATAACTTGAATGTGGCTAACAATGGAATCTTAGATGCATATGTTGTCCCACCTAAGACTCATCATTTGGATATACCTGCATTCGGGTTGATGTGACTCCGGAATTGGAACTTAGAACTTCTCGATTCAAAAGCCTAATCATCCCATTAGTTACTGAATCCAGATGCACACTCAGTTTTGCAAAGCATTCAAGTTTAATTTAATTTATGAGGTTTTTTAAGCTATCCCTTTGTTGACATTCCTGACGGAATTTCGATCAGTCATACTTGGTATACCTGCCTCCTGCTTCGGTGGTCTCAATATAGACATTTTTCCACAAGTTTTATAGAAGAGAAGGTTTATGGTCAAAAATTCGTTCTTTTTAGAACTAGTCAGCTGGATATATAGTCCTTCAGGCTGATCAAGTTCTTTCTATCAAGCTGCAATATGATCATTCGTTCAGGTGAATTACATCGCAATCACTTTGTATTAATGTTGAGCATATTTTAGGGATGACTGCTCTAACTACTAAATTGGATGAAACATGTCTGAATTCTACAGGGATCATCAGTTACCTCAAGACTGCAGATCCGCCTTCTTGATAAATACCAACTAGCATATACTCAAGGTCAAGGGCTTTATATTGAATATTACCAGTAATCTAATAATAAAAAGTTTTAGAATATTATCACGCTTGGTAAGCCAACATAGATTTATATTTTCTACACACTCCACCAATTATCGTATCTATATATAGTAATTTGTACCGGTTATTTCAGATTTTTATTTAGGGGCTATTTAAAGACAGTTTCTTTTCAAAAATGTTGGTTGGACTTTTTCTGTGTTTACTATTATTTTGAACCGTATTTTTATTTTTATCTGATTGGTTATCTTTACTGTGATTGTTTTTTCAGTTACTTTTGGACTTTATAAAAATATTTCAGCCACTCATGTGTAGCAATAATAATAATAACAATAGTAGTAGTAGTAGTAGTAGCAGTTGTAGTAGTAGTAGTAGTAGTAGTAGTAGTAGTAGTAGTAGTAGTAGTAGTAGTAGTAGTAGTAGTAGCAGTAGTAGTAGTAGTAGTAGTAGTAGTAGTAGTAGTAGTAGTAGTAGTAGTAGTAGTAGTAGTAGTAGTAGTAGTAGTAATAGTAATAATAATAATAGTAATAGTAACAAATATTCTACTTATTACCTTTTAGTAATAACAATAGCGGTTCTTTGATTGCTATTTCAATAATTACAAGTGCTTCAGCAGAAAGTAACATTTATTGAAACTAAAATTGCATAAGTAAATATATAATAAAACCCTGGTTGTTTAAATGTTTTTCGCTACTATTTTTCCTATTTAATCTTTAACTAATCAAACATGAACAAGTGAACTTTTCAAATGGATGATGCTTAACTGAGTAAGAATTAAGTTTTGTTTTTTCTACAATACTATAGATAGGAAAATGACTATTGAGTAGTTTAAATATTGAGTGATCTCTGTAAGGCATAAAGCTTTAGGTTTTGATTTATTGTTGATACTATATACTCAAACATAACGTATGAGAAGAAGATCAATCATAATTTCTCATATCAATTTAAGATGATCTTCGCTCGGTCAACTCAAGGCATTCTCGCAAGTTCTGTTCGTTAATTTTCAGTGTGTTCCAGTCGCATTTACTTATTTGATCATCAATAAATTTTGTTGTTGTAATAATTATTTCACTGTGATTTTCCATTAAATGACAATTGCTGAGTTAGTGAAACCCTGTGGTTAATAATCAATAAATCAATGTGTAACTGAATTAGCTTGAATGTAAGTTCAGCCCCATTTGGTGTCGTTCAATTAATCTTCTTAATAAGATTGGACTTTTGGGGTAGTTGAGAGCTGAAAGAGAGTATATAGGATATCGTATTGTCCTTAGGATTACCGCCGCGGTTCGTTCTTCTACAACACGATCTCCGAAGGTTTTATGGATGCTCGATGTTGACTTGTCTCATATTAGAAAGAAACAAATGTCTAGTGCTTCTCAGTTTAGAATGCTTGTCTAGATAAACCCATTCCAGTGATGTCAACTACAAAACAGATAAGGTTTTGAGATTGTTCAACTGATGTGAATAATTTTACTTATTAAGAAATGTTTTATTTTAGTTTGTATTAAATTTGATTAAAATTCGAGCAAAAACATTTATTAAATCGGCACATAGTGATAGAGAGAGTTATGGTTTTTCAAAGAATTAATATTAACTATTTCATGGATCCGAACGTCATTTGTACCACAGGAAAACAGACAAAAGGGCATAAACTTGCAATTTTGTTATCGGCATACAGCAGATTATGTCCATATTAAAATCAGTGTAGTTAAAATAAGGGCACATTACCTCTTGACAGCTGATGATAGATATTTCTGGTTTTATATTAATCATGCCTTCTAGCCTTTGTGTATCAAAAGCCGCCGACCAGCAATCTAAAACCTACTCTATCATGAGATTTCCTTATCAACTGTTCACAAGTACTATTCATTCTTTTCTTATCCTCATCCATTTCCCATCACAATATGTTCTTTGGTAGGTCCCTTTTCATTTTGCTTTCAAAATTCCAAGTTTGGGCTTGTCACGTAATGCAATTTGATGTTCTACGCATTGTGTGTCCTATTTGCAATCAAGGTGACTTACTACTTTCTTCTTCAGCTGAAAACTGGTTTGTACTCCGAAAACGTGTGTTATTGCTGCTGATGTCTGACCAACCGACAAGAAGAATCCTGTGTAAACAGTTGTTCAGAAACACCAGTACTCTTTTGACGATGGTTGTAGTAGTTCTACAAGTTTCAGCTCCGTCGGGCAGAACCCTCTCGACGTTGGTATCGAAGATTCTGATTGTGGTGTTGACTGACAATTGTTTCGAGTTCTAGATGTTCTTCACTTGAAGTAATAATGCCCTTGCTTTGTCAATCTGTGCCTTCACATCTGAATGTGGTCGAAATGTTTTTCAGTGGTGTTGCATAGCTACATGAAAGATTTTATCAACTCCAGAGCTTCTCCATCTATCAAGTGTGATTTGGTTGGTGTTCACTGGGTTATATTTTAGGACATTGCTTATTTCTTTGTGTTTGTGGAGACGAAGTTGTGCAGAGACAGTAGCTACACTGTGTGTCTTCACCTACATTTGTTGCTGTGAGTAGGATAGAAGAGCTAAGCCATCTGTGAAGTTCAAATGCTCTATTTGTATCCAGGCTGTTTACTGTATCTGGTGCTTCCTCTAAGGAGTATATGTCCTGATAAATCTTGTGACTGAATGCTTGAATCAGGGTCCTAAATTCTTCAAATAAACTTAAGCTACATTTCAGATAGCATTGGGCATTTGGAAGGTTCCGAGACCCTACTAAACATAGTTTCAAGATAGACGATCACCCAATGAGTAAGGTGACACGTGACTCTTCCCATTCTAGATATTTTTGAGAGACTTCTATTTAATGCTGACTGGGTAAAATGTTTCCAGTATTTTCACAGCCTCTCTGAACTCTTTTCGAAGAGTACTCTGGATCTCATCAGTCTGTAGTGACTCACGTTTATCACGAGAACACGACTGGTTTAATAAAAACAATTATTATTATAACCAACTGTACCAGTGTTTGTTTTAACGTGCTTTTGTTTGACTGTGCTAATGACAGCTACTTTGTGCTTCCATTCTTTTACTTACACTTTGATTGTAACTTCGCGCGAATTCGGTTACCTTCTGTAACCACGATTGTATCCTGGCACGATCTCGGTATCCTTTCGATGCCACGAGATCGCCAGCTAATAAACCTCGACTTGGTCCATTAACTGTCTTCTGATATTTGGCTTCTCGGGGATTTTATGGAGTCATTTAGAACGAGCTTCTTACGCCTTCTGATTCGCTTGGCACGTGTTTCTTTGTAGCGGTGTTCATAGTTAACCTCAACTCGACGCCATGCTACAATTGGTAATCCCAATCAGACTACAAGTCTTCATATTGTGGTCGATCACCAGAAAGAAGTGTAAAAGCGAGAGTAAACAGTGGTGTCTGATACTGTCCTACACATAGATTGCATCTGCTGCACTCCATGCATAGACATGAATTGTACTCAATCGTAAGAATTCCGTTTGATGCTGACGATCACCTCAGGTGCGCTACAATGTTGAAGAAAACTTCGTACGGCTCTCCAACCCACTCTGTCAAAACTTTCTCGTAGTTGAAAAAGTTGATGTATGGTAACGAGTTCTATTCAAATGATTGTTCAACAATGATCAGTAGTGTCGCGATTCTGTCTGTGAACAACGACCATTATGGAAAACAGCCTGTTGATCTCGAAGTTGGGCATCTACTGAATATTTTATCTGTCCAACAACACTCGGATGAAATCTTTCTCTGGTATTGAGAGTAGTGTGATGCCGCTGTAGTTATCGTATCTGCTTATATCTTCTATGGTATCTTGAAGGGGTGTCCTTCTTGCCAGTCTCTCAGTGGCACTTGTTCATGCCCAAAAATCTTCCTGAAGAAATAGTGGAGCATTTTGCAGTTGCCTCTGTCTAACGTTAGTGCTTCATGTGTCATGCTGTCCAGTGTAGCGTGGTGTGAAGTTCCAGTTGAATATGAACACCGCTACCAAGAAACACGTCCCAAATAAATCAGAAGGCGGATTGGGATCAAGTTTATTCATTTGCCGATCTCGTGGTATCGAACGGATACCAAGATCGTGCCAAGAAATGGTACAAGCTAAAGCAAGAGAACGGATTACGTGCGAACAAAGCCAAAAACCAAGGAACAATAATGATGGAAGTTAATGGGAGCCCAAAATGGCTGTAATTAGCACAGTTAAACAAAAGCACATTAAAACAAGCACTGGTACAGTTGTTTATAATAATAATTGATTTCATTAAACCAGTTTTGTTTTCGTGATACAAGTAAGCCACTACACTAGTCTCGCTGCTTATTCACCATTGATTTGTCCGATCGCCAACTTGATTTCTTCGATCGTTGGTGAAGTGACATCTATAGGAAAGTCCGTAGGTGCTACTTTGATGTCTAGTGGGTTTAGTGTGGCTGATCAACTCAAGAGTTCTTCAAAGTGCTCTTCTTACAAGCTTGGCTGTTCTCGAATCTCAGTGGCTGTCTTACCTTTATTGTCCTGGAGTGGTCATTCTGGTTTACTGCATTTTCCAGCTAGCCTCTTTGTTGCATCATAAATTTGTTTCATATTTCCTCGACCTGAAGCGTTTACTGGTGTCATTGCTCAGCCTTGTATATATTTCGTTTGTCAGCTCAAACACTCCACTCCACCTGATTGTTCGACTGTTTCGACTCTTTTCTTCTTGTTTCTCATTTCTTGAATCATCCTCAGATTATCAACAGTGATCCATTCTTTATGATGGTGTTTCTTGTAGTACGACGCCTCCCGGTATATTGAAGTTAATGTTTTTTAGTCTCTTTCCAGTTGTTTGAGTAGATCTTTGAAAACTCGGAATCTGTTGCATTCATTGAGTTTTTCAGTACCTCACAAAATTCTAAATTAGACGTTTGTGATGCTGAGTCCTCAGTTTTCAAGTACCTGTTTGGTTTCAGTTTCATCTTGGCAACCAACAGTTGGTTATGTGAAGGCATGTCAACTCCTCTTTATGTTCTCACGTTTCCCGTAGTACCTTCTGAACACTTTATTGATGCGAAGTTGATCAATCCGGTTCTCGGTGTTATGGTTCGGAGAAACACATGTAACCTGAAGTTCATTATCTGCCGCCTCCTTGAGCTTTCTTATTAACGTGTTACCAGAAACGGCCGTCATCTTTGTAGTTACGATGTAAGTTTTGGTGTCTACGCCACTATCGTAAATGCCACCTATTGGACCAAAGGGCTGGATATGTGAAGTTGAATTAGTCGGTACACAAACGAGGACAGTAGATATTGTTAGGCGATGAACGAGATTTCGCACACATGCTTAGAAGACTATCTGGATGATATAACTCTGAAACAAGACAACGGGTCCCTTGTATCAATTCTCTTCTCAGATTTAAAGAAAACCTTTGATAAAGTTACAAAGAAAAGGCTTCTCGCCAAAGTGAAATCCTTTTGAATCAATAACCCAATATATTCATTGTTTGCTTTATTCCTAACAGAACGAAAACAAATGGTTAAGCAGAACGACTCTCTCTCATCACAAGGATCAATAACAGGTTGAGTTATTCAGGGAAGTATATTACGTTCACTCTTCTTCCTGATGTATATAAACAATATATGCAGAATCATAAAATTTGCGAGACTATA